AACGAGTTCATGATGGTGAAATTATAACAATGGTTACTTTTTGGAGGAGTTTTGGTGGGAAAGGTCAGAAAGAATATTTTGAACTTGTTTTTGACAGTAGAGAACTAGAAATCACTGGCATCTGGCACATGACAGCTGGTGATATTGCTTGCAAGCACTAGTCACAATGTATAGCAGGCCTACCCTCAGTTCTGCTTTTCATAATTCCTGAAGATGAATGGAGCATATTTTTAGGCAGAACCCTAATTGCAAGAGAGTTTAGAATATGTAGTTTTCACTGGTGACAGGTAAAGGTCAATGTTACTCAAAATAATGAAGGCCTTGATGGGTGAAGTGCAGATTGAATAACAGCCTTTATTTCAGGAGGGGAAAAACTTTTCTCTTGCTTTTTTTTTTTTTTTGCCTGTCCTGGGGCTTAAACTCAGCTTGAGTGCTGTCTCTGAGACTCTTTAGTGCTCTACCACTTGAGCCACAGCACCACTTCCCGCTTTTTCTGAGTAGTTTATTTTTTTGGGGGGGGGTCCGGTCATGGGGCCTGAACTCTGGGCCTGGGCACTGTCCCTCAGCTCTTCAGCTCAAGGCTAGTGTTCTAACCACTTGAGCCACAATGCCACTTCTTTTTTTTTCTTTTTGCTTATGTGGTGCTGAGGAATCGAACCCAGGTCCTCAGGAATGCAAGGCAAGCGCTCTACCACTGAGCCACCTTCCCAGCCCTAAGTAGTTTATTGGAGATAATGGACTTTTCTGCCCAGGCTGATTTGAACTATGAGCCTCATAAATAAGCCTCCTGAGTAGCTAGGATTATAGGTGTGAGCCCACTGGTGCCCAGTTCCTTTTGTTTTTGAAATGTTTGGTGATTCTTAGTTTTCCATTTCTCTCTTTCAATCTCAGAAATTGTAGCCAGCACTTGAATTTAATATTGTTGTATGTTAGATTTATAAGAATTACTATAGATATTTTTTAAATTCGATCCTTAAAAGTAGGTAAATTATTTGTAAAGAGTTTGGTCCTTTGAAACCTTATTTTTAAGCTATTGAGAGGAACCAGAACAATCTTTGATCAAAGACTAATTTAGTCCCACTATCTTTGAGTACTCAACCTAATTTCTTGTATGACGTTTCTTTAGGAAACTTGACCTATTGCCAACCCTGTTTAAATATTGTTAAGACATTCCGTCGGCTCCTTTTCAGTGGTTCTTTACTTGGACTTAAAAAGTTTTCTCACTAATTTGTGCTGATCAGTTCTCTGATGAAGATTTGAAAGTAACCTTCTCTATTTTTCCAGGACTGCCTCTACAGCTCTCTCCTGGGCAATTATTAAAGCATGTCTTATCTTTTTCTTTCAGGGATCACTAAACTGTTACCAGGCTTATGTCTAGTGTCAGGAAGCTATTGTTTTGTATACTTTATTAGTTTTATAAGATGAAAAAGTAAATCCATTGCTTAGTTACAGGGACTTCTTTGTTACATTTTTCTTTGTCTAAATACATTTTTTAATTCATTTCTTTTTGGACTCATGTTTAGGAGGCAGGTGCTTTACCAGGTGATGCCTGGCCCAGCCCCCCCATTTTTTTTAACTATTTATTTTTTCAGGTAGGGCCTTGTATTTTCACTGACGGTAGCCTCAGACTATGATCCTCCTACCTAGGGTCTCCCATATAGCTGGTATCACCATTCCTGGCTTGTTGATTTAGATAAGGTCTTGTTAACTTTCTGTCTGTGCTAACGGAACCATTGCATTATCTCTCCTTCCCAAGTAGCTGAGATTATAGTCATGAACCTTGAGCCCAGATTCCAAGTAAGTTTTAGAAGAATGATTTGTTGTTTTATTTTTAAGTGTCAATAGAACATTTAAAAGGACACTTATCTGTTGAAAAATTTAAAAATAGCTTTTGTATGTGTGTGTGCAATAGAGAATGAAATTCTTCTCATTTCTTCTGAAATAATAGCCTTTGTAGCCCTAGTAAGGTCACATTGTGAGATTTTATTGTATGTATGTATGTATATATATATATATATATATCTTACAAATGTTGTTTAATAGGAATGAAAGATACATGCAATCATATGTACCCAACCTCAAAGTGTAGTATATACAGGAGTTAAACGCCATGGTTAAACCCATTGAACAAATAACAGATTAACAAAATGAATATCTGGAAGCTGAAATATGTTTTGAATGGGGGAGAGGGGCTAGTGAGGGGAAGTGATGAATGGAAAAGGGAATACTCAATATACGTATGTGAGAAAGGAAGTGGAGGAGGTGGCACTGTGGCTCAAAGTAGTAGACCACTAATTGAGTAAAAAAGCTCAGGGACAGCACCCAGGCCCTAAATTAAAGCCTCCAAAACCACCAAAAAAGAAAAACAAGTCGAAAATGATACAACTGGTTGGGAAGGGGTTGGTGGGAAAGAGAGAGATAACAAGGAAAGATTGACTCTGATGAAGATGCACTGTATACACAAATGGACAAATTACATTATAACGTCCTTGTCAAGACAACCATTTGTAGATAAAACATAAAATATGTAGTAACCCTTAATAATTATATATAGATAGATACATATACACAGGTGTGTGTGTGTGTGTGTGTGTGTGTGTGTATGATGGTAACATCAAGGACTGAAACCTAAGCCATTACATATTCTAGGCTGGGCAGGCACTGTACCACTGACCTATATCCTTAGCCTCTATATATCTTAAATTTCTTAACTTTGAACTGTGGATCTATTGTAGATTTATATAAAGTCTCCTGATATTTTGTTTGGTTGGGATTTGAACTCAGAGCCTCGTGCTTATTAGTAGATGTTCTTCCATTTGAGCCATGATCCAGCCTCTTCTGCTTTAGTTATTGTTTAGACAGTGTCTCTGCATCTGAAGACTTGTTATTAGGTCAATTATTAGATATTAGTTCTAATAATACCTTTATCTCCTGTGTAGCTGTAGTTACAGCCATGCCTGAAATGTTTGTTGAGATGATATCTAACTTTTGCCCAGCTTGGCCTTGAACCATGATCCTTCTGGTCCTTGCCTGCCATTTAGCTGTGGTTACAAGCATAATCCACCAAACTGACTTAAAAAGTATTATTAACCTTCTGATTATTCAAAGGATCACTCTTACAAATTCTTTAATTATGGTGTAGCTCTTGAGAATATAATGCAAGATGTTAGGCACTTAATTCCCCATACTATTTTAGGACAAGGAAGTGGCACTGTGGCTCAAGCGGTAGAGTGCGCGCCTTTAGCTGAAGAGTGCAGGGACAGCACCCAAGCCCAGAGTTCAAGTCCCACGACCGACCAAAAAAAAAAATTTTATATATATATATATTTTAGGACATTTTCCATTTAACTTCACTTTTAAAAATATGAAATAAAAACTGGGCATAGTAGTACATGCCTGAAATCCCAGCACTTGGCAAGCCAGCTTGTGCTACATAGTAGTAAGACCTTGTTTTTTAAAAAAAAAAGGAAAGGAAATAAAACTAAACATCTTGCAACTACTGCTTGAAATAATAGTTGGCAGACTCATACTTAGATTTCTTTGGTTCCTATTTCTTACCAGTTAAGAAATAACCAAATTAATGTATTTAAACGAACCAGATTAAGAAATCTGTGTTTTTAAGGCCAAACGTTATTTGCTTAACTTTTTCCTTTTTCATTTTGCTTTGCAGTACTAGCAATTGAACCCAGAGTCTTGGGCATACTCTGCAAGCATTTAACTATTTTACTTAGGTTTTATAAGCAGATATTTACATTTTATCTTAACGTTTTGTTCAATAAAGAGTAAGACTAATATGTCAATAGTAGGTGTTATCACTATTTCTGTTAGTTCTATAATCCAAGCTCAGTTAGAAGGGTCCAGGACTTTTAATTGGAAACTCCTAGTGGGAAAACCTGAAAGTCTTTGGGACCAGAGATGAGTTAATTCCAAAGCACCTTTGACTAGTGTTCATTCAGAACCTGAATATTTTCTAAGCTGTATACAAAGCCGTGTACACTCTCTTCTCACTTCAGAGAATCCTACCAACTCCATCCACCTCAGCCTGGCAGCTATCAACCTACTCAGCTTTTCACCCAATTTCTCATCCCCAAACCTTCATTCTATAGCTTGGAGACATTTTATAAGTATAAGATAATTTTAAAATGCTTCTCCAGTCCTTAAAGAGATATAACACATCCTGACCAATAATGTCAAAAGAAGGAAACACATTCTTTCCAAATGAAATAATAATATCTAGTTTGCACTTAAAGTGATTAAGCCATTTTACTTAGCATTTTTGGTGTGTTTTTCTCTGTTCCTCATAATTTCCCTTTATGGCTGCAAATGTTGGTCTGACTTTCAACACATACCATGTTAAATATGCATTAAATTATTCTGTTAAAATTAAGTAAGTACCCCAAATCTTCCTTACTTCTCTGTATCTCCAGTAAGTTTATAGTACTTGTACATTTATTTACTTGCTGGATTAACTGCATGAATAGACCAGTCTGTTATTACTGTCAACATGCCTTTGTTGGAAACCTTTATTTACATTTTTAAATAAGATGAGCAAGCCAGTTTTGTCAGTTGCTAAAAACATGAATAAATTCAAGCCTTGAGAGGGAAAAGGTGATAGAAAAATATTTTTTTATCTTTAAGAATTTTTTTTTTTGCCCAGGAATTCATTGCTTTGCATGTATTCTTGTGACCTTACACAATTGAGGGAGGAAGAAAAAAAAAAGAGGTTGTGACTATGTGGTGTGTATCTAAAGGTGCATGTTAGCCTAGGGAGAGGAGGACAAATAAGCAAGCTGGTTTGACCAGAAACAGAACTGCCTGTGACAGATTAAGAGACAAGCAAGGCTTGGAATCTGAGAGCAAGCAGAGTGGAAATTTACAGCTGCTTGATGTGAGTTTCAAGTGATCATTTTCTGCTAACGTTTTTCCCGGGTAACTGTTCCTCTTCAAAGAGAGGCAGAAAGTAAAGACAGAATTGTGCAAACTCTTTTTCTCTGTGCCAGTAATGGGAGGCTCCCTCTAATAAATGGACGATAAAGGCTACTTATCTAAAGTGCTTTGAGCGCAAGAAAGAGCTGTCTTCAGCACTGCACTGAGCGTCTACTTTTTGCTGCTTACATGAGCTTGGTCATTTCCTTACCATTTGGTGAGTATCTATACCCATTTCAGCTGTAGAAAAGTAATTAATATGGCACAATTCAGTATTAATTGAGGGTCTGTTGTTGCTACTTATATATTTATTTGAAATGAAACTGTTACCTTGTTTCTTTGTGCATGATGAACTGCTTGCTGTTACTATGGGAGGTTTGAAAAAACAACTACAAAACAATACTTCTCTGTTGCCTGAGGCACTTGAACCAGAACCAACTATTCCATATCCATGGAATATCTTATTTTGGAAATGGGTTTTTATTTATAAAAAGTTTCCAGAAATGAAGCAATGGTCAAATACTAATTTTTGTGTTTCTCTTTCAATTGGATGGAAATTTAAAAGTTATCTTTTCTGTACATTGTCAGTTAATTTAAAGCTATCATTGTGATGCTTAGTTTTATGTTATTATAACATATAATTCCATTGTAATTTAAACTAAAAAATTGCTACCAATAATTAAAAGGATCTGTAATTTAAATGTTGAATACTGTGAGAGCCAATAAAACTTGATTTTTCCAAAGTTCTGTAAGGAAATAAAAATTATAATTTGCTTAGAAAATTTACCATTTGATATAAAATGAATGCATATAGATTTGTAAGGTAAGGAATAAAGGGGTTATTTTGTTGCTGATAACCAGCTCTCAAAATCACAGCTTTCTGTTGAAGAACTATTATAACTAGATGTGTGTGCTTGTGTGTGTAAGTATGCAGAAAAGCAGAGAAAAGAAAAATAACTTCTTAAAATACCATTCATATTCCAATAAATTTGTATATCTTTATATATGACATTGTATGGTCTATACATATATATTCTAAATATATATTGATATATATTTACAGGGCATAGATAAGAAGCACATAATCTTACTTTTGTAGGGGGAAGGAAATATGTATTGTTAATTACTAAATTGAACAATTCATAAAGATACCCATTCTGAGCAAGTTTCTGCTCTATCCTGTGCTAGCCTTAAGAAATAAACATTATTGATTCAAGTGAGCTGTCTAAGTCAGCAAAAGAAAACTGAAGTGAAAACTTCAGGGTATCAGTGAATACACACATTAAGAAGTATACTTATACACAACATGACTGTACTTTCTCTGAAATTTCCTCTACGTGTATAGAAGCCTGTAGAACAGGTTTTGTTAATGGCGTTTTGTGGGCTTTTTCTTTTCTGCCTGCCTGTTGACCTATGTATATGAAGCAGATCAGCAGGTCTCTAGACTTTTCCTGAACACATTCTTAACTTCAAGACAAATTTACCTTACATAATTTCCCACTCAGTCCTTAGATGTATAGAAAATTTAAATTTCAGCTTGGCAATCTTCAGAAAAAAATATTTTTAATTAACAATGGCACCATTTCTTAATCCCACAAGAATATAAATATAGAATAAGTTATACTTGGTTACAAAATGTATTGCAGTTCATGTATGAGTAGGTGGTTAGGAATTTGGAGTTTATTTTCTTTGAGAAACAATATATCAAGTGGCTGCCAGGCTTTATTGTAGCCTAGGAATATATTTTAGTCATACTATAGAAAACCCATTGTTACTTGAGAAATACTAGAAAATCAAATCTAGTGGTGAATCTAAATATAAGTGCTCTACTATTGAGCTATATTCCCAGGCCAATCAGTTTTTAAAAAATATTTACTTATGTTTATTAAGTAGTTGTGGGGGTTTCAATTTCAGAAGTCAGGTTATGATTTCAATGCATCTTCATCAGTGTCACTCTTTCCATTGTTCTCCATCTTTCCTCATCCCATCAATTTACATGGTTCAATTTTTACATAATGTACACTGAATATAATGACTGTATTTGCTTACCCATCCTTCACCATTTCTGTGCCCTCCTCCCCATTGCCCTCCTCCAGAACATGGTTCAGTTTCCTGGTATTCATTTTGTTAATAGATCATTGGCTGTTCACTTGAATGAATTAAGGCAGATCTGTAGCTGTAACAAATTTGTGTTTGTATGTGTGTGTGTGTGTGTGTGTATGGCTAACCAACACATTCCCTTAATAAGGAAGAATGTGTTAGCATGTCTGTATTGGCATGCCTGTTTGTTAGGGTCATATTTAGTATTGTCTTGGTAATTAAAATAATGAGCTTAAACTGAAATCTTTACTGTCTGCAAATGAGATAATATAGTTTCTAGTTTTGTGACATATAGCTTAAATTGCCAGCATAAATTTCTAACTTGGAATTTCCCATCCAGAATAAGTGAATCAACCATGTATGTCTATAGGATGAGAAATCACTTCAACTAGCTCACTTTCATTCCTACTCTCCCATAGTTAATGTTTTGGTGGTTGACAGTTGATGGGCACTGGTATGATATAATTTTATTTCCCACTATACCAATAAACTTTGTCTTAATACTAATGACTGTCTCTAATCAATTTTAAATGATGGATAATGTGTGTGTGTACTTAGAAGAAATATTGGGAAAACCCTGCATTATGAGCTTCTCTCTCTCTCTCTTTCTCTCTCTCTCTGTCATGCCAATAAGGAGTTCAAACTAAAGTATGTTGTCCTTTTTTTTTTTTTTCATTCAAGGCTGGTACTCTACCACTTTAGCCACAGCTACATTCTTTTTGGTGGTTAATTGGAGATAGAGTCTCATTGACCTTCCTGTCCAGGCTGGCTCTGAACTTGATCCTCAGATCTCAGCCTTCTGAGTAGCTAGGATTACAGGAGCAAACTACCAGCTATGTTAGGTTCTTAGACTACAAATACGTTAGTAGATACTATATCTTCTTAACTTCTTATTCGTTCTGCTTTAAAATTTATTTCAGTATTATTAGGCATTAGAATTACTTTTAAGGGAGATGGGTTCCTCTTTTTTTTTTTTTTTAAAAAAAGAGTTTTTGTTCTGATGTAAAAGTCTGACCAAAACTTCCAGATAAATAAGGATACATACATAAAAAAGGCCTCTTGGGCTGGGAATGTGGCTTAGTGGTACAGTGCTTGTCTATCATGCATGAAGTCCTGGGTTTGGTTCCTGAGTACCACATAAACAGAAAAAGCCAGAAGTGGTAGGTACTGTGGCTCAAGTGGTAGTGTGCTAGCCTTGAGCAAAAGAAGCTCAGGGACAATGCCCAAGCCCTAAGTTCAAGTCCCAGGACTGGCCAAAAAAAAAAGGCCTCTTACAAGTTTATTTCTGTGTAACTTGTACAATTTTAGAAAATATCTCTCCCTCAAACTCTGCTAATAAAGCAAAACTTATAAAAGGAAAGTCATTCTTAATCATTTTGAATGGAGAAAAATGATTATCAGTGAAAAATCATTAATATTTATTATTTTATTATTTTTTACCTGTGTCTTTTGGTTTCCAAACTCAAAATTCAGTTGGGAATTATAATTATATTTATATTTAAGATGTTTCCTTAAAACTGGAAAAATTGAGCCAGGCATGGTGGCTCAATCCTGTAATTCTAGCTTCTTGGGAGGCAGAGATCTGGACATAACAATTGGAGGTCAGACTAGGCATAAAATTTCTAGATATTCCTGTCTCAACTAATGGCTGGGCACTGTAGCGCATGCCTGTCATCCTTAGCAATACAGGGAAGCAAAAATAGGAGCTCACATCCCAGACCACCCTAGACCTAAAACAAGATCTTACCTTGAAAATAACCAGTGCAGAAAATGGCTACAGGCACGGCTTAAGTTGTTGAACACTAGCCTAGCCGGTATGAGACCTTGAGTTCAATTCTTAGAACCACCCAATGAACAGAAAATTTGAAAGAAGATGCTAGGTTTGCACACTTCAGCATATATATTTGCTTTGTAAGAGATTTCATCTTATAACATATATAATGATACACTGTATGATTTATTATTTCTGGGAAAACAATTATTATGATTTGGGTTGAGGGATTTCTTGTATATAGTAAATATAGTACAACTTCAAGATGGACTTTTTTGTTTTAGTATCAGTCCTGGGGCTTGAACTGAGGGCCTGTGTACTGTACTTGACCTTTTTCTCAATGCTAGTGCTCTAGCATTTGAGCCACAAGCTCCACTTTGGGCTTTTTGGGGGTAGTTCATTGGAATCTCCAGAGATTTGAACCATGACTGATCTCAGCCTCCTAAGAAACTAGCATTACAGGTGCAAGCTGCAAGCACCCAGCTAAATTTTGTTTTGTTTTTGTTTTTATGTGTAGTGATAGGTGTGATTTAATTTGTTGGCATGAGAAAAGGGACTTGTGCTTTTAGTTTAAATAAACAAGCTATAAGACAGAATTTTGGAAATGTTCCTGTCTCATTGTTGACTGTAAAATAAATGTATGTGAAGGAAAAGAAAGTTGATTCTTTGCGTTAATTTTCTTGCAGTCACTGAATAATTTGGCTTATATGTTCTTTTTAGATTACCCAAGGAAATGTTGAGGTAGCTCATGACTTCATAGAGAAATTTCCCATTCCTTTAAATTTCCTAGGGAAATCTTTGAAGTGAAAACTATTTTTGGACAGCACAGTGGGAAGTTAAACAGACAGACATTTATTCCCCTTCGAAATATTTTAAGCAGGATAACAAGAGTATTTAATACTCTATGTACCCCCTTTCCAAGCATTCCTCTCCATTTCATTTGCTTGCTTGACTGACTTCGAACCATCCTCAATGGTGCTCACATGTTAGGAATATGAAGTATTTTACTGTATATCTCAGAAAAAGAGGGGCTGGGAAGGTGGCTCAGTGGTAGAGTGCTTGCCTTGCATGCATGAGGCCCTGGGTTCGGTTCCTCAGCACCACATAAGCAAAAAGAAAAAAGCCGGAAGTGGCGCTGTGGCTCAAGTGGTAGGACGGTAGCCTTGAGCTGAAATGCTGAGGGAAAGCACCCAGGCCCAGAGTTCAGGCCCCACGACTGGACCCAAAAAAAAGAAAAAAAAAAAAATGCTGCCAGATTCTACTACAAAATCAACAGAGTCTGAGTTCCCTGGAAGCAGAGTAAATGATCTTTCTTGGCTTTCTCTCTAGAATCTTAGCCAACTATT